ACTCCACAAAAAAACACCCACCAAGAGATAACAGTATCTCTCATTGCCCCACAATTCACAACAGTAAATCGTGGAAACAGCAAATGCCCATCAAGGTGGGATGGAGGGAAACACTGTGGTAGTTAAGTGAAATCAGTCGACTGCAAGGACACACAACAAGGGCAAATCTAACAAACATGAGATTGGAGTGTAGAAGCCAGATACAAGGGAGGACACCATTATTGTCAGGGAAGAAAGAAACGCGAGCAAGTTTATTAATGTGCGCATCACGTGGGAGAAACCTCAGTGAACAGTAACTCAAAGTAGTGGTTTAGGACTCCGGTTTATAGAGCATCTTCAACGAAGAACAATACATTTTAGAGATGACAAGACAAAGAAAAGCAGTTACAGGCTTCCAGAGGCAGGAAACTGTGGGAAGGTAAATACCGGGGAGTAAACTAACTAATGGAGTGTTATGGCTGTGCCTAGGTGTCCTCCCAAGGCCTCATGCGGTCACAGGTGGGGCTTTTTCAGAGGTGGCTGGATCTAGAGTGTGTGACACTGGAATTGATTCCTGGCACAATGCTACACTCAAGGGCACTGAGATTAAGGGTGTGAGCGCTTCCCGCCCCAAGTAGTCTGGATAAAATAAAAGGGGCGGATACCGATTTGATTTGAAACTGTCTCATTGCTATCTGTTTATCAATAAAATTTTGAAAAAAAAAAAATAAATAAATAAAATAAAATGGGCGGAGAGATGCCATTACCATTGCTTTTGTGTTGTTTCTCCTCAGTGGCTCCCTTTTGCCATGTGCCGCTCTGCCCTGGAGCCAGCCAACTACAAACTGAAATCTCCACAAACAGAGCTAAATAAACCTCTTCCACTTTAATTTTGGGTTTCAGGTATTTTGTCTCAGCAAGAGATAAGTAACTAAAATATAGAGTGAGATTTGTTTGCAGATTTCTCTGACAGCCTTCCTGTGCTGAATAGAGCTGTCTCCAGCAAAGGGGAATTTATATCCTGTTTTTAGGGGCAGGCAGGGAGGGCAGAAAGAACTTTTCCATTTGCCGCTTAACTGCATCTGGTTAAAAATATTTATGTCAAAGATATGTGTTTGGGAATGACACATTCTGGATTCCATTACTATGATTCCATTGGTATAAAGCTACCAAAGTCAAACTTACCCAGGTAAAATAAGACAAGACACTGCCCATCATTTGGAGAGCAGAGCTGTGAACAGAAGGAGCAGAGAGACTGAAAGACCATCAAGACCTGCTTTCAGCTCCCCAGAACCCTGTGCTGGTTCCAGAGCCCAAGGGCTCGTTCACACAGGTAGGATCCTCTGTGGGAAGGCTGGAATGTGCTCAGAAGAAAGAGAAGATTGCTTAGAGACCAGCCCTGCCTCCTTGACAACGTTTCCACTGAGGAGTCCTGGGCTGTGACATGGGGCCAGTGGGAGGAAAGGAAAAAGGGCCAGATTCAGCTCCCGAGAGTCCCAGGGGCCATGGGATCCCCAGGGTGGCCAAGCCCTTTACCTCTAACACACAGCTTTGTAACCTCAGCTTCGGACAATCTGGTTTTACCTCAAGTCTAGAAGGGTAAGGAATGCTATGTGACAAATGTTAAATATAGGGTGAAATTAAATAGGGCACTTGTTTCATCACTTATTCATCCAGCTGTGCAAAGTAATACTTACAGCATCATGACTACCAGTTAGCAACTGATTTTCTTACCTCTTCTGTAGGCCCAAGTTTTCTCTTGTCATGAATTTCTGCATGCACCCACCCCTCAATTACTATGTTAAAGTCCTAATCCCTAGTACCTCACAATGTGACCATGCTTGAAGATAGGGTCTTAAAAGAAGTAATTATGTTAAAATGAAGTCATGAGGTCAGCCCTACCCTACCAAGACTATGCTCCTTAAAGAGGAAGCGTACACAGTACAAAGGAAAGACCTTGTGAAGATGGGAAAATGGCCATCTACAGGCCAAGGAGAGTTAAGAGAAGAACCCAGTACCTTAATCTTTAGCCTCTAGAACTGAGAAAAAATAAATTTCCGGCTAAGCCACCCATCCAGGGTACTTTTCACGGCAGCACTACAGAATGTATTATTTCAGGAGTCAGGAAGGCCCTACCTCCCACTGTTAATAGTTAACATTGCTTCTTCATGTAATAAGACTATGAGAAGCACAGAGGCAAACACCTATCTTCACTAGGTGATTTCGTGTTAAGGCTGCACTACACACCTATGGCAAAGCCCCTCAAGCATC